AACATTCCCAAGACAAGAACGAGCTCCATTTATAAACGGATATCAAAGCTTTGTCTCAAGTGCAGGAAAGAGATTGCAAAAACTATCGTTTGGTGTGGAGTTATCTCTATATATATAAAACAGTTTGTCCTGACTAACTGACTAACTGACTGACTGATTGGCAATCAACGCACAGCCCAAACGGTAAGAGCTAGGAAGCTGAAATTCGGACACAAGATCCCTCTCACATTGAAAGTGAGCACTAGGAAGGGATTTAGGAAAATTCGAGCTCCAAGTGGTGAAAAACGGGCTCCAACGCTTGTACAATTATATAAGAGTCGAGCCTATTATTTTATAAGCTGATCTGTTCTTTACTCTTCTGTACAACTATAGCTATAAAAACGTTTTATAAAATTGCTTCCAAGCAAAGAATTGACAAATATAAGTACATAACGCTGTTTATAAAAACGTTTGATCTAAAATGCACCAAATAGGAATACAACAAAATTCCGAATTCTTTTTTATAAGCAGCCCGCAGACGATAGCTTAGCAGTGGTGGGCCTTTTATTTAAGAATCAGATTTGCATATCGGTTTTGGGGTCCGTAACACCTTCAATACTGGCCTGCCAGTGATCTACTATCAAGCGAGTTTCAAGATATTTAAGACATTCGGACATTCGTTAAACGAACATACCTTTTCAAACTTTTCTTTTTGTGGCGCTAGACCATAGACATAATGGTGGAATAACTTGCGCACCAACACCAGTAAAAACGATATGTTTAACAAAGCATTCAAAACAACTTTGTTGGATTTTTTGCGTTGCGGCTATAGTTTTATTGTTGTTGCTGTCACAATTGTTGTTGGCTGCTGCTCAGACGGGCGTGCAAAATTATCGAAACATAATCTTTCGTTACTGTGGAAGAGAAACATTTTCAAGTATGTTTTGTAGGTATCGCTTTTCTCTCTCTTTTTTCCCCCAAAACCGCTCTGCCTTCCCATAATACAAGTACATCGGATGTAAAAGGAGGAGGCGAGAAAAACTGCGGGCAACATAAAACGTTTTAATGCAGATTCTGCATTACATTTTAAGCCCTTTGCATAATGCTTGGGGACAACTATGACCATAAAAGTGCAACAATACCCTTGGTCATAAATTTTCAACATGGCATAAAAGCCGCTGATTGATGCTTAGTTTGGAAGTGCGCCCAACTTTAAACTTTATGCAGTCGTATATCTTATAGTTTTGATGCATGCATAAAATTTGATGAGATTGAAATTTTGTACTATGAACATGCATATGTACGTATGTATGTAGTGAGAATGTGAGACTTATTTCATTTGCAGAATATATGCAATAAATATAGTCAGTTTTTATACCCTGTACTCAAGGGGTGAAAGGGTATACTCGTGCTATTTTAATTGTATTCTTAATCAGTATGACAAGACGAGTCGATACTATATATCGGCATATATATGCCGGTCTGTGCGTTCGTCCGTCTCGGAAAGTATTCTCCTCTGAGAAAGGACCAATTTGTGTTTTTTTGCTGCCCCCCTACCGTTTTCTCCGCTTTAGTGTTCTTTCATAGCTCCCATAACTCTTGGAATTTTTTACTCAAATGTTAATGTGCAGCAACTTTATATAGCACTATTTGTTTATATATAGCATGAGCATGAAAGCAAAATTGGCAGGCGAAAAAATTATACATAGTTTACATTCAATGGTAAGCAAGAAAAGGAGGTTGAAGCTCCCAAAACTCTATGTTAACCAGTAAGGAATTTTGTAATAAAAACCTTATATTCAGTGTCGAGTCAAAATATAACGTTTTTGGATCACAAAAGTATGGAGAATGGCCAACAAAGAACTGCAAGTTAATACTTTACGTTGGAGATAAATTACGTCTTAAATTACTTATAATTGACGCATTACGGCTCTCGATAAAGACCAATTTTTAAAGGTCCTACATTCTTTTGTGGTGTTTTCGTTTCGGCTGGTAGGGGATAATTGGATATACGTTTCTAATTCGTATTAACTATACCTAAATGGGATATCAATGTTTTGTCTTAGCTGTAACTAACATGGCATCTGAGAAAAATTACTCCTCTTAATATTGTATTAATTTGGATTGTCGAAACTGATAATGTGCATTTTCAGTTCAATTAAGGGATATTACATAGTTTTAAATAGTTAGATTATATATATACTTATATTTCATTATAGTTTTGTGTACAATAAAATGTGCGAATGGTATAATATTTGGTAATTAATTTTTTCATTTATTATCATTATCATCATCACTATTTATTTCATTTTAAGCTAAACCAATTTACAAATCACCAAACCAATTTATAAATCATTTACTAATTTATTACGTTTTTTTCTGCGTGCCTTGTGGCATAATCCCAACAAAATACAATTATATAGAGTTTTTTTTTTTTGAGGGTGCTTGAATTATTTGATAAATTATATAAATTGAGGCACACCAAGTCGACTCGTAGGGCAGCTTTTCTTTTGAGCTTTAAGATTGCGAGTATAAGTTTTTTAAACCTCTAGAACGTTTTGTTTTTTCAATTAATTTATCAAGTCTATAGTTGTTTGGATATGTGGAACCAATAGAAGGAGGTGTGGCGAAATTAAGCAATGAAGATGCCCTCATAAATGTGTTAATAAATAATCTTTAAATGATCGCATCCAATCGTTTTAAGTTCCACAACAGTCATAAAATCAAACAAAAGTATTCGCCACTTAACACTTTGTTTGTTTTGGCTGATAAAGGTGCGAAATGTGGCCGAAACAGATGGAAGTATATCTGAGAAGCCTCGGCGTTGGTTTTTACTGCACGAAATTCTGACGCGATGCCAGCAATAAAATTTAAATTGCCCAACAATTAATCGACCGCTTGGTGCATTATTAAAAATAATTACAGCCATTGGCAATTTGCTTTGAAGTCGGGACGAAAATATGGATTTCGAATTACAATGAATGACTATTATTTTGTGTTAAACGTTTAGTCCAATAAAATACAAATAATTGTAATGGATTAAGAGAATGTGTGTAGAGTATGTATTTAAACAAATTAGTTGTTTAGCTCCAGTACAAGATATTCTTTCTATGAACAAAAACAACACCAATTGAATTCTCATCATTTTAAAAAGAGAGCTTGTAATACCAGTACCAAATCTATAGTCCAAAATTAATACTAGTACTAATAGGGTTTTTAAGAAATTGACACCCGTCGTACTACTCTCGAAACAATTTACATATTGAATAATTTATGACAGGATTTCATTTGTCTGCCTCACAAAACCCATCTTTTAAAACTATTCAATATTTATGCAAATAAATTATTTTTCGACTTTGATCAAGCCAGATTGCAATCTCATTAAATCTATATGTTTTGATCAGAAAACATTCATTAAATGAAAATACATTGACTCGCGGATGCGATGCGAATAAATATAACGAAGAAGGACATATTGAATTATTTCTATTCGTTTGCTATTAAATAAATGTACATATATATTACGCTTAGATCTGACTTATTTGTTATTAAAAAATATAAGGAGCAGTCTTGGGAATGTAGTGAATAAAATACGTAATAATGGCTACAATTGAGGTACGAAAAGCTTAGCATGTACTTATCTGCATAGTTTTCTATACGTTCAACTTTGACATTTAATTAATAAATAAATACAAAATTAAATCAATAAATAATTCACGAAGACAGTGAATGTATAAAAGAAAGTAATTGATTCGCCGGGAAAATAACGTATGTAATTGTACATTTCTGCATCTTGGAATAAACATTTAAAAATATTTAAATCATCAAGCAGCTATGCTAAATTCTAAAGCAACCTCTAATGGGAATATATTTACCATCTTATCAGTTTGTAAGTCTGCAATAATTTGTACAAATTCCTAAAGCAATTTTCTCGATTGAATGAATTTTGTATATGTAACCAACATTCGATTCTGCTCTTTATTTATATATGAATAATAGTGAAAAGAGCAACAAAATTAATACAACCAAAGCAAGTACATTTATTTGGTTTCACATAATAATTATGAAGTGGCTATGAAAAGGAAAACTTTATTTAGTTTCAGTATGTACTAATAATTGACATTTGTTTAACAGCATTATATTGCGGCACACATACCGCAAGCCCAAATACTATATATTCATAATGTTTTAAGAATTAAACTTGGTTGAGGCAAAGACAGAATGATTTATTCAAATCTTAAGAACCATGCCCCACTGCTACTGTCAGTCTTAAGCACTAATACCTTTCCCTTTGAGCACAGACACATAAAGTATGTAGCATGCGAGAGGGCTTTGGAACGTACTTTATAAACCCCACTAAGCATTTTTCGCACTTCAACAGATTATCGTGCTGTTTTTAATGGCCCCAACAGGCGGTGGGGTCTGCTTAAGAGTATTTACCATTGCATTTTACTTGCGTTGCTTTTCCTGTTGCAGTGCTTTGTTATATTCTATTCTATTTTATTTTCTTATTTTTTCTGCCGGGGTTGGTGCTAGTGCCTAGGGTCGTGGCATTAATGCCGTCAGTTGTCAGACAGAGAGACTGACTGGCAGACTGGCAGCCACTATTTTGTTTGGTTTTTCTGTCTAAAGAGTCTATTCATATTAATAACATTGGCTTTGGGGCCGTGCGGCCGCAAGTTTTACGCATTAGCGCGCGCCGATGTTGCAAAGGCCGTTGCAGTCCCTCAATGGCGGCAGTAATAATAACAACAACAACAACTATAGTCCGGCACCGGCAAGAGCGCATTTTAATTTCTTTAAGTACTTTCCTGGCGACCACAAAGTGCTGAAAGGGCTGCGTTGTACCAGGGGCTGTGGCATAAATGTGGAATGCAATGGAGAGCTGCCACATAAATTACGCATACGCCACGTAGTGCGCATTCGACAAACAGCAAGACACAAATTGGCTGGGAGTGTTGGCAGCAATGAACTTTGTTTATTCTTCCCCACCACCTCTCAACCCCTTTTGTCACACTTACCTTTGCTAAGTAAACATAGCTGTAGGAAGCAGAAACAGTCCAGCCAAAGGAGTTTCGTGCGCCTCCGGCTCTGCACTATGTGGATAGCGCCAGAGCCGGGGGATTTGTATTTGGGTTTGTTGCTGTCCGCCATGGATTTACATGTTGCTGTTGACACAGACACGCATCGAAAAAAAAAACACACGCACTACCTAGTGCGGCTTTGTCTGGTTTTGTATCGTTTGTAGTACAAATACCTGCCTATCGTATCTATTTAATTGTCTCATGAATTTTTTAGCAATTAGCCAGGCAGTAAGCAAACACACGCGTGGCACAAAACTTTTTTGTGAACACTTAAAAAAACAAATAAATAAAAAACAAATAAGACGCAGGTCGAAAGGAACTTCGCACGTCAAAATGCGCGCCAAAACTTGTGCGTTGCGTCTTCACTCGTCTCGACACGATTTAAGGACTCGCACACGTGGGCGGGCGGTTGCTAGTGGGTGGATGTGTAATTTCCACCTGTTTTCGATGCGTTGCTGTCGAACGCCAGCAAGCAACTAAGGCGCCAAATGCACGCGCAGCTAGCTATATGGCATTCCTCCGGCCCCTGTGTGTGTGTGTGAGTGTGTTGGTATCTTTGGGAAGGTGGGGACTTGTGGGCTGGCAGTAGCAAAAGCAAAGCATCGAGCAGTGCAATGAATTCGCATTTTTTGTACAGCTGTTGAGTACGGCGCATGTGCCGCAATGAGGCCAGCCGTTAATACGAATTGTTGTAGTTCATTAAGCATTTGAAATTTATATTCATCCTCTGCATTTATTGAAAATAACGCAATGGTTGGCAGAAATTCCTTCAACTTGAAATTAAATACGCAAACAGTAAATACCGTTACATTCAAGTGCCAACACAGCTGGCTTTCGCAGTTTGCCCAACAGATTTACAACAGTGGCAACTATTGCTTAGCGTTGCCATGCAGTAGTGCAGCTACAGATGTGGTGAGTTTGTGTTTGGTTTGTGCATGTATTTTTGCGCTGTTCTTCATGAAGTATGAAGTATCCACAAAAATTAAAGTCTACGAAACAATAAACAGCATGTAAATAAACTGAAAAAAGGGCTAGTCAGCACGAGATTCGGGCAAATGTTGTATTTAAGAAACATTTTTAGCATTTGTATTTGCAAAGCACAATCATGTGCCACCAATCGTTTCTATGGAGGCTAATATTATATAGTGTATCGATTGCAATAAAGCTAAAGAGTATAATGAAGAAGTATAAAAAACAAATACATTATTACCAATTTGTCAACATGTTTTTGGTAGTAAGAGTGGCTTTTGAAGCGATCAACAGCTATATAAAATAGCTCACAGATTTTTAAATACCATCATCCTTAGCAAAGACATGAACCTTGTGTAGGTGCTGCCTCGTACACGCTTTGCCATTCGAAACTGACCATCCGGCATCATCATTGAAGAAGTTTATTTAGCTTGTCCTATTACCATTTGTTTACATTTGTATTTTTCTTATATGACTGCAACTACGTGAAATGGTGTTCACATTGAGCAAGCAAAATGCCCAGCAGCATTGCCTCACCTGCTTGCTGAAATTAGATATGGAGGAACAGCCATCAATGGCAGTGAACGCGGCCCAAGACCTCGAGCTGCAGGAATTGTTGGCGCGGCACTTGGGTATCACAAAGGAGCAGATGACTGAGGCGATGGTGCCACAGCAGGTGTGTGCGATTTGCTATAATCAACTGCAGAGCTTTGAGAAGTTTCGCCGGCGTGCCTTCGAATGCTATGAACAGCTGCAAGCGGTACTAAGGAGTCACCCGGCTCAGGAAGAGGAGCCTGCCACATTCGAAATCGTTTACGAGCCCATGGAAATGACAGACGAGTGTGAAGGCAGAGCTGGCGCAAATGCCGCTGACAAGTTATATGGCGAACTTGAGCCCGAGTCGGTGTTGGTGGAAACATTGCCACCGGCCACACCCATTGCAGACAGCTTGGAGTCGCCCGATCCTTTTGAAGGTCCTGCGTACGCGTCTGAAGATGCAGAGAATGTAACACAAAATACCAACCAAAGGACCGTTCGCTGCAGCCGGCAGCACAAGCGATTGGACGCTGCCGGCACCAGTAAAGCTTCCAAAAACATGTTCAAATGCGCCCAATGCCTACGTTGCTTCGCCCATAAGATGACCCTAAGCGCGCACATACGAAAGGTGCACGAGGGCAGCAAGCGGCCTTTCCAATGCGACCGCTGCGACAAGGCCTATAGTTTTATGGGCGGCCTCTACACGCATATCAAAGAAATCCACGAGCCCGGCGAACGCCACTATGCCTGCGACCATCCGAATTGCGGACGCATTTACACTAGCTCCATCTCCCTACAGAATCACAAGCGACTGAAGCACAGCCCTACAAAGCCCTTCCAAAAATATGTGTGCGAAGAGTGCGGCGCCACATTCAACCAAACGGCCAATCTCAAGCATCATCGACGCACCAAGCACCCTACAGCTGATGAGGCCGCACAACGTGCCAGTGAGAATGAGAGGCACTACTGTGAGCTGTGCAAAAAGCATTTCCACTCCCGCTACACACTCAAGTACCACAATATGCAGCAACATTCGGGCGGGAATAGGGAGCACCATTGCCACATCTGCGGCCGTAGCATGGCCAAACGTTTCATGCTCGTGCAGCACATGCTGATGCATTCGGTGGAGAAGATGCCTTGCGAGTACTGTGGCAAGCTCTTTGTGCGTCGTTTCGAGCTGGAGGCGCACATTCGGGCCGTGCATCTCAAACTGAAGCCATATGCCTGCAAATATTGTGAAGAGTCCTTTGCTTCTCGCAAAACTCTGCGCCATCACGAATATATACACACGGGTGAGAAACCCTATGTCTGCGATATCTGTGGACAGGCCTATCGCCAGCAAACATGCCTCAAGAATCATCGCAAGACACATGACAAGCAGCCACCGGAGCCAGAGCCGGTGCCCGATCCGAAGCAGGTACTTCCAAAAGAGTTGAGCCAGTAGTTTTTAGTTTACAAGTTCACAGAAAAGCCTTTTTTTCGTCCTATTTTTTTTATACTTAGTTTAGGAATATACCAAGTTAATCTTAACCAACCGCTTGATTTGTGTTTGTTGCGTTTTCTGTCGGTGTAAGTTTAGCTGGAGTTGTTTGCCGTTCGCGCTCTATATAGACAGGCAAGTCTTCCAGAGGTTTGTAATAAAGATGCACTGCCTGTGAACCGGCCATCATGGCCACCATGGCACTGCCTAGAAATTTCAAGTACTGTCCCCAGGATACGCCCGCGGGCATTATTAGGCCGAATTCGTCTGGGACGAATGCTCCTCTACGTAATTCTTAGCTTGGCGGCGCTTGAAAGTGCGGTCTGTAATAGAATTCGTGTGGGATATCTGTTGAGCTGAAGAACTATTTTAAGTACTTACAGAAATTCGTCTCCCCCACGGTCCAATTGATCATGGAGAACTCCAGTGCCGCACCCAGGACGAAGAACAGCGGCAGGAATCTGTATACACCGAAGCGTTGCTTGCCGGGCCAACTGTCGAGCAGACGTCGCAAGGACCTACTATACAAACTCATTGGGTAGTTATATAAGCGGCAGCAACGCACGCAGCATTCGCTGCTTCAAAATCCGATAAAGGCGCGGTTAGAAAGTGGCAAATATTGCCTGTTGATGTTCGTATTACCAGAGAAACGCAAAATCCTGCTGGTACCCTCTAAAACATTACTTTTTACAATTTCCTCCACACTCTTAAGTGCAGAATTCGCGTGCGTGTTTCATTTGCCAAATTGTTTCAGCCAAAACACACAACACAGCTGTGCGGGAGTGCTGCCAGATGCCTATATTTAGGAGGTGCCAGCGGAGCCACAGTTGAATGAGAGAGGTGGCAACTGCATTTCATCTGATTTCTGGGTTGGCAAAATTTGTTGTTGTTTTTAATTTTTTTTTCGCCAAAATGATACACAGTTTATTCATAGTAAACAGTAGCGGGTAAGCGCACTATTATCCAAAATCAATTTCTGACCCTAACTATATAAACGCCATGAATATGTTTCCCGCAGCGAGGTCTTCTTGGAAAAACACTGGCGTTCTGTTGTTTCACGTTCCGTATGTGAATACTTTCTCGATGCTCAGCGCGCCGCTCCATATGTAAGTAGGATATGACTTTCTCCTGATGTTATGACACTTAAGTGTTGTTTGCGCAGGATGTGCCGCCTGTAATTGCCACGCCTCACTACTACCTCATCACGGTGCAGCGCGAGAGCGTTTCCTTGGTGGCCGCCTGCAAGCAGGAGGTGCCACCTTTGTTTGTCATCGAGTTCCTGCACCGCGTCGTCGATACATTCCAAGACTACTTTGGCGACTGCTCCGAGACTGTGATAAAAGACAATTATGTGGTGGTCTATGAGCTGCTCGACGAGATGCTAGACAATGGCTTCCCACTGGCCACAGAAAGCAACATACTAAAGGAGCTTATCAAGCCGCCCAACATATTGCGCACCATTGCCAATACAGTGACCGGCAAAAGCAAGTAAGTGAGCGATAACTTTTTGTAATTCCAAACTATGGCTAAATATTTGCTATCGTATTTGGAACAGCGTCAGCACCACCTTGCCTTCCGGCCAGTTGTCGGCAATTCCCTGGCGCCGTAGTGGCGTACGCTATACCAACAATGAAGCCTACTTCGATGTTATCGAGGAGGTGGATGCTATTATTGACAAATCTGGCTCCACAGTCTTTGCTGAAATCCAAGGCTATGTAAGACATTGCTATTTGCAATTGCAACAGAAACTAACAGCGAATTTGTGGTCCACAGATTGACTGCTGCATCAAGCTGTCGGGCATGCCAGATCTGACGCTATCTTTTATGAATCCACGTCTCTTCGACGATGTCTCCTTTCATCCCTGTGTGCGTTTTAAGCGGTGGGAGGCTGAACGTCTGCTCTCCTTCATTCCGCCCGATGGAAATTTTCGGCTTATGTCCTATCACATCAGCTCACAGTCTGTTGTGGCCATCCCCATTTACATTAGGCACAACTTCTCCATCAAGACTGGCGAGCAGGGACGACTGGATCTGACCATTGGGCCACGCAACACCTTGGGTCGGACCGTGGACAAAGTGAAACTGGAGCTAACCATGCCCAAGTGCGTGCTAAACTGTCTGCTGACACCCAACCAGGGCAAGTACACATTCGATTCTGTTACCAAAACACTCTCCTGGGACGTAGGTCGTATCGATGTGGCCAAGCTGCCCAATATACGTGGATCGGTAAGTTAACGCTTTCACAAATATACGTTTGCTTTACTAAGCTTTGCGCTTTCAGGTTTCAATCACGCCCGGCAGCACCAATATCGATGCCAATCCATCGGTAAATGTGCAATTTCAAATTTCACAGCTTGCCGTATCCGGCCTGAAGGTCAACCGTTTGGACATGTACGGCGAAAAGTACAAACCCTTCAAGGGCGTCAAATACATAACCAAAGCCGGAAAATTCCAGGTTCGCATGTGAGGAGCACGGCGACCATCGAGCATCGTCTTTCTAAGCTATGATTAAGTTAAATTTAATGTGTTCTATATACACATACTTATATTATATACATATTTTTTTTTAAGCTGTACTATCTCAACCATGTACAACTGCTATAAATGTTAAACGCAATGTAAAAGTGTTGGAATGTTTGTCGGCAAACTGATTGGTGTCAGTCCATAATGGGTCTGGGCAGCTTCCACTCTGGGTGTATGTATAAGTGTGTGTCTGTCGTGTGCCCATTGCCCAAATGTGTCATAAGAACGTCGCTCGCCGCCATATTTGAAAATGGTTGCTAGTTCTGTTGCTGAATCTTGTTTGACACTTGACTGGAAATGAAGTTTTAACTGGCGAGTCGCTACAATGGCCTGCCAGGCATAGCAACAAACAAAACCAATAAATTTAAATGAAAATGCAAAACTTGATTTTCAGCATGGCACAAAGGCGACGACAAACATACTACATACATATCGGTGTATGTACAGGCGGACTTCCAATGACATGGTCAGCATGTGCTGGCTCTCGCACACAAAATTACATTCTTAACTGTAAATTAGTAAATGTTGTTTGAAAATTTAAAAATCCAATTGAATAGAAATTATTATTTATAAATAACTGCTGAAGAGCAATTATTTTCAATGTCATCCCCAAATTACACAGTTTGTGAGTTTTTTTTAGGTAAACCCATAACCTATTTCAGGAGAGCAAATGCTTCTTTAAAATACTCATTAACTACAAAATTTGTAAAACATAACAAATATAATTTTTGTTGCCTCTGGAGGTCCTTTACCCTGTGCAGCAAAATGTATTTGTCCTTAAATGCAACTTTTCTGCGCCGACACCCAGTCCTAGTCCTGGCCCTGGTCCTCGGAGTACCAAATTCAATAAAACTCCGACTTGTATTAACGTTAAACAAGAAATAATGCTACAGTCGAGCAAGCTCGATAGTTTAGCACCCTTTACTCAAACGCAAGAGCGAATAAAATAATAATAAAAAATTTAAAACAGATGTAGAGATTTCTCTCGAGATGCTGATTAAAACTATGTATGTATATACACTTTATGGGGTTGATAATGCTTCCTTCTCCCTGTTACATATTTTGCACAAACATAACACAAATAAAGGGTATATTTACTCTTCGGAAACAGGGCATTAGAAAGAGGTAGGTTTTGTAAGGCCCTGTCTGACCTTTTTTTGTAAGAACTTGGATGGCTTCTTAGAAAGTTTTGTTAATATTTTGGTGTTATTTGTCAATCTTATTATGTTTATTATATTCTCCATTATTTATTTTATTACGTCTGGGTTAAGTATAATTGCCTTGAGTATAAAGTATTTGTACGTTTTTTAGTGGAAGTTCCATTTTGTAAAAGAAGAAACACAATAAATATTAATTTATGTAAAGTTATAAACCCTGGAAAGTGCCGAAGCAACCGCGAGTTGATCCAACAAATCCCATTTACAATCAAAATTCAATTCAGAACCTAATTACATATGATTTCTATGAAGCGATTGTGTCATTCAATGTCCCACTGTATTTGTATAAGCATATGTGCATGTACATCTTGCATTTTTTCGTGTCTTGCAACCGGTTTCGCTTGCCAGGCTTCCACGATGGTTTGGTGTAGGCCCCGCGACTCCAGCGTCCAACTCGAAGCCGGCCTACATGCCAGGAGGGCGTGTAGAGGAGGGGAGCGCTCCAAACAAGGTGCGGCAACGGTAGCCAACAAGCGCCATCAAGTGGAGGATATGCCAGCAGCTAGACATGTTATACATACAAACAGATCGCCCAGTTCCAACGCCAACACCAACACCAAAGCCAACTTTGCTCTGATTGAGCTTGAAAGCCATTTTTTACAGATCGGCGAGCGTGGGAAATGTTTGGGCATTTTGTTATACTTCACGATTCGAATACATTGCTATGTTTGTGTATGTGTGTGTGTGTGTATGTGTGTGTGCCAGGCACGTCAACAATTTGGCACACAGCATGCGTCTTTTTATTGTTAAATGAGGCGTTTATAAATGTTCATTAGCAGTGGGAAAGGCAGTCAGAAGAAGAGGCCAAGCAGACGGCATCAGAATTGTTCCCTTGGCCAACAACTTTGGGCCAAGTTCGCTGCCTAAGTCTTTCGTTTTGAATCGCCAGTTCGCATGCCTCTATGCAAATGCCCTTCTTCCCACCACGCTTGCGCCCGTCATGCCTCAATGCTTTCATAAATGCTTGCATAAATACCTTTACACACACACACACACACACACACACACACACCACACACATACATATGTATGTGTACATAATATATATTTATTAATACTTGCAATGGAAGTACAAACCTGTTGCTCTTGTTGTTGTAAATGTTGTTGCTGTAAAAAGTGCAGTGCTCGCCTGTGATTTGTTTCTGTAATTGATAGCTGATAGCATTTTATTTGCCTAGCGCTATAAATATTTATTTTATTCGTATTTAGTCGCAATAATTCATTGTAAGTGCAACACACAATACACAATAACAATAATTGCGTTAACTTGATATCGAAGCGCATGCCTCCCTAAGCAATAACTATTTGTGTAATTTTCATTATTGGGAAATGCTGTTCACGGGAGCGGGCAAAGGCATTTAGCATACTTTAAATAACTTTGCACCACATTTATAATCGAGTATATAAACACCAGTGGCTAACAAAATGCAATGCGCTCTCCACTTTGACAAACATTCAAATATCGAAGCAATTCAAATTCTTTATTCAAATTATTTTTCGGTGGAATCTATTCTGTAAGAGTTGTTATTTTATGTATAAGAATTTATTCCTAGTATTCTCAATTGAGACTTACAAGTATAGTATTAAGGCCAGCCTTTTGTTTCTCTTAGGATTTATTATCTTAGACAACAATTATAGAATTATAATCGACATGCTCTAAATCTGTTTGTCCCTTGCCACATCTTACGAGTATTTCTCTTTAGTTCACAAACTATTCATAAATGTTTATTGGGGCCGATTGTGAATTTTAAATTTGTAGACCACAACTTAGACAAATGAAAAAATACTTCATTCTAGTATAACTTTTTAAAAAACTTTGCAATACATTTGCTACTAACTCAATATTTTTATCCCAAGATTGGAGGCTAGAAAAAATATTATTATTCTTTTTTAGAAGTTAAGTGAAAAAAACTATTTTTTTATTTTAACACAACATTTTAAAATAAAACAATCGCACGTACGTACGAATATTATGTAAATGAATACCTATAGTCCTAAATTGTTATTTTTATGAGCCCAGAGGAGCGGACAGTTAAATAAATTATAAAACTGACATACTAATAGGTTTGAAGCTTATTGCAAAAAAATAAATCATATTTGATGGGTTTTCGTGGCATTGCTTAGCAAATACGTTCTTAACTGTGTGTGTGTATAGTCACTAATTACAGGTGTTATTTAATTTTATTCGCGTTTAGAACTCTCAGGTTAAAGATAGAAACAGACGTGGTATTGGTCGCAAAGTACAATATTTATTTTTTTCCCTTTTTGAGAAATTGTTAGATAGAGATCGCATAAAATCGTATTCCTAAAATGTTTGTTGATTTTGAAATATAAACAAAACCATTGTTACTAAAAACAATACAATATTTAGATCGGCTGTAGCATTGTGCTATTCGTAAATTTTTAAAGCCGATGCGGAAGCAATCCCTATTGCAATGGAGTCGGCAAGCGCAACCAATAGAGGCTTAACTGGTGAAAGTCCTTGCTGTCCGAGACATGTTCTTAACAAACCATAAAAATATCAATTTAACGTAACACAGGAAATAAAGGATCAGTCACATAAGCCCGATTAATTCTTTTATTTTATTATTTTATATAACAAGATTACAAATAAGTTTATTATCTAAGTAGTTTGAAAAATAGCAATGGCAGTTCTTGATTGTATTGAGTCTAAAGATGATTATTATGAATAAAATGAAGTCACAAATATCAATTCTGTGCTCCTGTTTAATTTGAGAAACACCTTATATAACATTTCACCAGTAACTGATAATACCGATGCGCCTCCTTGATTATTCGAACTCCAAATCAACTATACAAAAAAGGGCCGTGTGCAGGCTGGCTATAAGATCACATTGTTATTTGGGATTAACTCTAAAAAAGAATTAAGGTAAAATAGTTAAATGAAAAACAAATTTTACTTAGAAATGTGTTTGCCGACTCTTGATGCTGCGTTTACCCAGCTAGGCATAGCCTTTATCTGAGCGATACGATTCGGTATCGAGCTGCACAAATGCAACAAAGAGTGTTAAATGGTGCTAAGTATTTCGAACTAAGCATACACCGGGTATGCAAAACCGTATGCAAATTTTACACTTCAACAAATTTCTTTTTATATACACATATTAAAAAAAAAAGCAAATTCGGATGGTTTTTATAAAATGTAAAATAATTTTACCTTTTACCCGAACTTTTTCGACTTGAATGTATTTTTTAAACTGCTGCAAAACAGGAAAAGAAAAACAATTAATTTAAATAAAAACAGCTCCGTTGTTCAAATCATGATTTACAATTTTGAATAAATTTTCTAATGCCCTTTCAATATTATGGCGATTCTCTACCATTCTCCCATTTTGATGATAAGGAATAATATAAAATACATTTCGTTGGGTTCAAAAAAAAAAAACCTTTGAAATAGCTATAGATATTAATCAATTAAAATAAAAACTGAAATACAAGTTGGCAGAATATCAATACACCTAAATCTGTTTTTACACGGTAGATTGGTTGCAGAAAAAGTCGTGTAAAAAAAGACGTTGATAATATGTTATTTTGAATCGTGCTAAATGGAATAAAGTCGTGCAACCATATATATAATTTTTAATTTTCTAACCGTGTAAAAAAAGACAGTGTAAAAATAGAATTAGGTGTAATCCATATAAGGTCTCTGTGGACCCTATGCTGAAAAAAATAAATGAAAATGTGGATATCTTAATTCAAAATGCATTTTTAATTACTGAGTAATAATTAAATACGTTTATAAATGCTTAAACTAAAACATAAGGTCGTGTTCAATTGGCACATGGAATTAAGTTGAATAGGGAACCAAGGATCTTGTCAGTACCCTGAGGGCTAAAGAGGATATAGCTGGCCAAAT